GGGTTTCACCAGTGACAAAAGTAACAGTAGCTGCCAAGTATTGATTATTCCTAAACGTTACTTGAGTAATTTTAGCATCTTTTTTGAGGCGGCCATCAATATCCCTACTCTGCTGCTGACAAAACTGAGATCATGCGACGGTGCACAGCCTCAAAATTAGCGGTGGTTCAGCTGGGTTTGCACCGCAATCTTGGTTTATTTTCGTCCATTAATTCCAGAGTGTTAAATAAACCTGGACGGATCTTGGGGTTCTCTGAGTTAGCCCCCCGATCGTGCCCACGAACAAGCTGTGGCCTGCGTGGTGCCAAGGAAGGACACTGGCCACACCACTCGTGCGCTGCTCAGAAGTGTGCCCCGGCGTCCAGGCGCCATGCGGACCAGAAAACGAAACTGCCTGGGAATTAATGTTTTTCTTCTTCTTCGAGCAGGAAACCAGAGAGAAAATAGGAAGCAGAAGCTGCGCGCGGCGCCCGCTCCCTTCGCCCCCCGCCCCGCGCCAGGGCCGCGCGCGCTCCAAGCCCTGCGCGAGCCCAGCGCGCCCCCGCGGGCCCCGCGCGCCTCGTGCCTCGGGCCTCGCGCCTCGAGCCAAGTCCCCGCCCCGGCCCCGTCGCGCCGCGGAGTTGGCTGCTGGGCGGCGCGGGCCTGGGTGTGGCCGGCGACTCTCGGCGGCGCTCGGCTCGGCGGGGCGCTGCGCTGCGATCTGCGAGCGGGCTCCGCGGGCGAGGGGCTGCTGCGCGCCCGGCCGAGCCAGGCAGCGTCCGGTGGCGCGGGCCGGAGCCCTCCCAGGTAAGCGCCGAGCACGCGTGGGGCTGCTGGGCGGTGCGCCCCGCGGTGGGGGGGACCCTGGACCGGGGGCGCAGGACCGATCCGATCGCGTCTGACTCCGGGTCTGGAGCCCCGGGCGGCGGACCCTACCCGGGACCACGGGGCGGGCGCGCGTCTGAGCCCGGGCGGTGACCCGCCGCTGGACCGCGGTCTCGGGCGCTTGCTGGGCTGCTTCGATCGCCGGCTCTGGGAACAAGGGGGCAGTCGGTGGTCCCGGGCTCCCAGCTCCCCAGATTCCTCTAGATGCCCCAGAGCATCTCCAAGGGACTCAGAGCGCGTCCTCGGGCTTGCGGGAAAATAGCGGTTATTCCATACTGCCCTGGAGGGTTATTGGGTGGAGAGCGTTGGGAAAACTCTTAAAAGTTCTCCACTGACTGCTAAAAATGAGTCCAGTGGTTTCGTGGTAAATGTATTTTGGAAATGTTATGCCCAGTATTGGAGTTGAGGTGAGGCTGCGGATTTATGAATTTTGAAAATTTGGAAGTTCAGTGCATGCTGAACATTTTCCTTTTCTCTGCACATTTCCTTTCTGCTTCAAAACATCAAGGATTGCCTCTTTGGTATTTATTGCTATTCGGGAAGGGGAGATTGGATTTCCAAAAGCTTAAAAACAGACTCATTTGTTTATAGAAGCAATGCTTTTTTAATTTTGTATTTTCATCCCTTTTCTCCTACTCCTTCCCTTTCTTGAGTAAAAGATGCTGTTGCATCTTATTTTCTTTTGGGAATGGGCTAAATTGCTGGGCCTGTGGATTAGCACGCTACTGGCAAGTTTTCTTAAGACGTTAGTATTTTGTTGATTAGAACCCTTTATTATCAGTCCATCATAGTCTTGCAAACTGAGATTGTGACTTTAAAATACATCTTAACGGAACAGAGATAGAGCCACACTGCTTATCTCAGATGAACGGGAAGTCATTTCTAGTCGCCAGGCAAAACGACTGTACACATAAAATTGTACATTTTGAGTTTCTTTGGCATTGCACCTTTTAAGACTTAGCTGTAGGACTTTGGATTATTACTGATCTTAGGTTCTGAAAGTTTGCTGTATATTTCAATATTTGGTCAAAGATCGTTTTAAAAATATCCGTGTTGCATTTTGGTTGGTAGGTGAATTTGAAACAGAAACTTGTATACATCATTTTATTGATCACTGTCAACTCTTGTGTATACACATTTAAAAAAATATGTAAAATTGATTAATGTGGCTTGTGATATGCTTCCATTCATCTCTTTGTGAGCAGTAGACATTGAAGAGGTTATTCTGAGTCATTGGTCTTTGTTAAATTGTAGAATTGTTTCTTTTATTTTTTCCAGCTGTATTGAGATAAAATTGATATATAACATTGTGCAAGTTTAAGGTGTGCCTTGTGGTGATTTGATAGACATTATTTTTTGCAAAATGATAACTACAATAAAGTTAGTTAATACAGCCCTAGTCTCACAAAATTACCTCTCTCTCTCTCTCTCTCTTCTCTCTCTCTCTCTCTCTCTGTGTGTGTGTGTGTGTGTGCGTGCATGTGTGTGTTTGTGTTTGGTAAAGACATTTAAGGTCTGTTCTCATCGATTTGCAAATATACAATACAATATTGTTAACCTAGTTACCGTTTTTATCCCTGAAACTTACTCATCTTATAACAAAGAAGTTTGTACCATTTGATCAACTTCTCTCCAGAATTCTTTCTTTAAAATTGTTTGTGCTTTATTATGTCAGCACATATTTGGCATTTTAAAAATAGCTTGTGGGACATTTTGAAAATTGAGAATTGGAACTAAGTGTTGGACATTTTTCTTCCCTTACCAAATATTGCTTGAGATGATGTAATTTTTTAAATTTTTTCAGGCACATTTATGAAGTGCACTAACTGTGTCAAGTTCCTTACCTTGTTGAATTAGTTTAATCTGCATTTATTAAACATCTGTTCTGGGCCAGAGGTGATATTATATTTATATTTTATTCTATTTACATATCACTTTAACTTGACAAAGGAAACATTATCCAGTTCCATAGGTAAGGAAACTGTGCTTCTGAGATATTAAGTAACTTGCCGGTGGTTACTAAGCTGTTAAGTAACTCAGCTGGGATTCAAGGCCAGACCTCCCTGTCTCTGAAATCCATGTTCTTTTCTCTGTGCCACATTGACTTAGGGCCAAAGCATGAGGAATGACCCTCAACTACTCATTGGCATATTAATAAAATTTCGAAGACTTGCCAAAGACGTGGGAGTGTTTTTCCAGCATCATCATTACTATCCATCCACGTTATTATACAGATGCTCACATCAGTTATTCTTTCACCTCATTCCAGGCTACATGTCTCTCCCAAAGTTTAGAATTTCCTCTTCTCTTTAGCAGAATTTTCCCTGTTGACCTTAATAGGTAGTGATAACTTAATTATTCTTCCAAAATAATAACCCCATTTTAATGTAGGTTGCCTAGACCATAAATATAACTGATTTGAAAGGTTAAAAACAGAATTGCACCCTGTTTTACAATATGGGAACCTTTTGATGTTCCTTAAATTAAAACAAACTGTTTTTGATAGCTATTTACCCCCTGCAATTATCCCTGCCCTGCTGCCTCTTCAGTTGTGCATTTCTGTGGAATCATTTAT